ACATATGGTTGTAGTACAAAGATATATATGGTTGTAGTACGTAGATACATATGGTTGTAGTACAAAGATATATATGGTTGTAGTACGTAGATATATATGGTTGTAGTACGTAGATACATATGGTTGTAGTACGTAGATATATATGGTTGTAGTACAAAGATATATATGGTTGTAGTACGTAGATACATATGGTTGTAGTACAAAGATATATATGGTTGTAGTACGTAGATATATATGGTTGTAGTACAAAGATATATATGATTGTAGTACAAAGATATATATGGTTGTAGTACAAAGATATATATGGTTGTAGTACGTAGATATATATGGTTGTAGTACGTAGATATATATGGTTGTAGTACGTAGATATATATGGTTGTAGTACGTAGATATATATGGTTGTAGTACAAAGATATATATGGTTGTAGTACGTAGATATATATGGTTGTAGTACGTAGATATATATGGTTGTAGTACGTAGATATTTTACAAATATTTTTATATTTAATAGCTATAATACGAACAATTCAGTTTTCATAAAATGTTACTCTTGTGATAAGTATAAATATGCTTCTTACGCATCGCACGAATTTACATTGTTATGTAATATCCATAAAACAAACACATTACAAGTGAACATTTTTCTCAAGGACTAAATATTATTATAATATAGTTCTTTTAGAGACTATCTAAACACCACCTGGCGTGAGGATTAGACTCCAATCATTTTTAAATAAATCACTTTCTAAATTAACATATTTCTGGTGTTACCATTTTATGAAACCTTACGATCATGAACACCCATGTTATAGTTTATTTCTGATACTGTAAACTTGTGGTATCTAATTAAAACATAATGTTTTGATAAACAAGTTTTTATTCTAAAGTTAAATCTAATATAACAATTCACATCTTTATATTGTTATTTCTATATTACAGATATGGAGATCTCTAGTACAAGAACAACATTAAAGTCCTCACCTTCTCTGGCAAGTAGTAAAGTAAAAATATACTGGAGAAAGTTTCGCGGCTGCCCAGGACTAGGAATTATTTTAGCTCTTATTTCGGGTGTTTGTAACGTCACGTGCGGCACGTGTTTTAAACTTTTACCCTGTATGAACCCTCTACAACTGCTGTTTTATTCGAGTCTGTTTCAAACAACTGTTTTCTCTGTTATGATTATTCAAACCCCTGGACCAGTTTTGGAAGATATCAGTGAACTGAAGTATCTAATTATCCACATCGTCACTGGTGTAATTGGAACAAATACAACATACTACGCTCTTCGCTATATTCCTTTAGTAGATTGTATGACAATCGTGTTCAGTACCCCAGCTGTCATCATCATTTTAGAACGTTTCTTTCTGAAACGTCGTATCGAATTGTTTAATGTCCTAACTGTCGTCATCACCTTGGCAGGTGTCTCTCTCATCACCAAACCATTCACTAGCTTCAGTAACTATGACGACAGCCAAAGATCCGCAGATCACGTGATTGGATACATCTTGTCTGTTATTGCCTGCTTTACATTAGCAGTATATTACGTCACCGTACAGTTAATGAAGTTTACTGGACCTTCAGTGGTCAGCTTTGGTTTGCCCCTATTAACCGTTATTGTAAACCCTGTTATCTTAACGATCTCCAATGACTGGAGTCTACATGATTGTGGTAAGGATGGTTGGGTCATTGTTATGTCGAGTGTCCTGGCAACACTTACTCAGTTGTTTGTAATTACTGCACTAAAGATAGAGAAAGCTGGACCAGTGTCCATCGCTAGGACCACTGACATAGTCATAGCGTTTATCTACCAATCATTCTTACTGAAGGAGAAGATACAGTGGACCAGTGTAGTGGGGTCAGTTCTTGTCTGTACAAGTGTTGGTTTAATCAGTTGGAAGAAGTGGAAGGCAGAGACTTACATCCAGGAGAAATTACAGAAGATGGACGATGTCACATCTGATGATTATTTACTTCAAAATTCGTCTTAAGTTACTAATGGGAAAATAGCTAAGGTTATGTTTAAATAGCTAAGCTTATGTTTTTGATCATAATTTCATGTTTGAGATCGAGTGAAATACTTATAGATTTAATTTCCTGTATGGTGTTGGGATTTAATAAACAGAATATTATGTTAAATTATAATCACAAATTAAACAGACTTTAACCAAATATAATTCGTATCAAACTTAACCACGGTGAAGGATATTAAAAAATTATTAATTTACCTGAAGCATCAAAGTATAATAATAAATAAAACAGACATTCTTTTCTTGATGTTTTCCATTAACTCGAGGATGTTCGGGCTATATCAACATTGTATACAATATAACTTATTTCATGGTAATTTATATATTCCGTTTATACGTGTTGTATTACAACAGAGAAACAAAAGTAATTAGCTATCTTTATTGGAATTATCTAATTTTCCAGGTATCTCTTTCTCAGTAGCACAGCTGTATGTCTGCGGACTTACAACGCTAGAAACCGTGGTGGGCAGAGCACAGATAGCCCATTGTGTAGAATGTAATTCTATTATATTCTATATATTGTTTATTTCTGGGTCTATTTAGTCCTTCAAGAAGTGTTTCTATATTTATGTATGGTTGCATAAATCAATAAATATTTTTATCCATCAATCGTGAAAAGAAATGTTCAAGGTAATTTTTATCATTCAATACTCAACTCATTAGTTAGTGGTTGACGACTTAATCGGAAAATTTGAGCTAATAAAGTTCTTATACAAAGGCAAGAAGAAAACAAATGTAGTCTTTATTCACCAACTTTCCTGTGTAAGAACACTGATGGAGAAACAGACGACAGTAGCCTCCAGTACTGGTGTAAATGGACCAGTAAAGAAAGAAGTGTGTAGACAAACAAGCAAAGCTAGTCTTTCATGAACGGCAAGATATAAATGAGTGAATAAAAGTATTAATGGCGTTATCAGGTTTCAGAAATGTCACTTGCAAAGATATCGAAACAAGAAAATATAGATAGGTCATCTAGATTAGAACATTACACTCTTGGGTCATCTAGATTAGAACATTACACTCTTAGGTCATCTAGATTAGAACATTACACTCTTGGGTCATCTAGATTAGAACATTACACTCTTGGGTCATCTAGATTAGAACATTACACTCTTGGGGCATCTAGATTAGAACATTACACTCTCTGTAGACACACTACAGTAGCATGTATATCACGTGTGTTAACTTTCTACAAGTTTATCTATGTAGACATACTACAGTAGCATGTATATCACGTGTGTTAACTTTCTACAAGTTTATCTATGTAGACATACTACAGTAGCATGTCTATCACGTGTGTTAACTTTCTACAAGTTTATCTATGTAGACACACTACAGTAGCATGTATATCACGTGTGTTAACTTTCTACAAGTTTATCTATGTAGACACACTACAGTAGCATGAATATGACGTGTGTTAACTTTCTACAAGTTTATCTATGTAGACTTACTACAGTAGCATGTATATCACGTGTGTTAACATTCTACAAGTTTATCTATGTAGACACACTACAGTAGCATGTATATTACGTGTGTAATGCTTCTACAAGTGTTACATAAAATTTTGTTAATCCTGTTTCTCCGAAAGCACACTATTCTGTTGTAATTAGCCAAACTCTCGAAGCAACATACTTGGATGAACGAAAGTTCCACGTGATCTTGCCTAATTCCCTCGTTTTTATGTAGGGGTAGTTTAACATTATGTTACTCTTACAGTTACACTAGCAACTGGTTGTTAGGAACTTTCACGAGTTTTTTCAGTATTGTTTTACATGAAACACGTGTTTATCGTAAAGTAAGCTACCATTTTTATATATATATAAATCCAAATATTTACTATTTTCTTATCGGTTTTGTTGTGTCTTTGTTACTTTACATTGTTATAACAATCTAGTTGTTAACGATAATTACATTACTGACAGTTGAATTGTTAAAAGTAATAATATTACTGACAGTTGAGGTGTAATGTTAATAACATTCTAAACAGTTGAGTTGTTGACAGTCCAATTATTGTTAATAACATTACTGACAGTTGAGATGTTAATGTTAATAACATTATTGACTACTGAGTTATTAATGTTAAGAAAGGATAAATTGGAGGACGTTCTAAGTTGGGTAGAGGCTATTTACAAATAGAACGAACTGTAGAAATGGCTGTTGCAGATGATAAGAAAAATTGTTACTGTCCCAATGCTAGAAGTATAAGAAATTAAATAAATGACTTTTGAGCCCTTGTTGGAATGGAGAATTTTGATATAAAGGATGTAACTGAAATTTGGTTAAATGTGGACAACTTTGATGGCAGGAATTTCTTTTATATACAGGATTATAAGTTTGATGATGACAAAACCTTGTCGAAACGTTGTACATTTGCTGTTATATTAAAGTTTCTCTTCAAGCCGTCTCCAACCATTATTAGTCTCAAAGTGGGTTCCTCGTCATCGAATTTGAAACAGAATTAGAAGGCATACAATCAATCGAAATGTTGTTTTTTTTTTACTCCAAAAATACTTTCGTTAACTGCCTGCGTAAAGAAGAGCGCCTCTACATTATTTAGGGAATCTTTATTGTTTAGGCTTAAATAAGATAAAATAATAACCATTTAATTTTTCTATAAATGTTTCCTTAATATATACACCTGGAAAAAAGTTAAGCACCCCCGTGTTTTTTTCAAGTGATTCAGATTCGACGTTCTTGTGAC